AGGTCTGCGCAGTGTCCTATGACATCCATGTACCAAGTTTCATTGAAATGTGATGATTACTACTTGAAATATCAAAAGCTGAAAATTAATTATGCAAATTAGCTAATTAATATATACTGATATTACCCTAAAAACTATCAGGTTTGTGCAGTGTCCTATGACATCTATGTACCAAGTTTTATTGAAATATCAGTGGAAAAGCCGAAAATTTATTAATCATTATGCAAATTAGGTAATTAATATTGTACAGATTTTTACCCAAAACTAATCAAATCTGTGCATTAGTTTGGAGCATCTGTGTGCCAAGTTTCATCAAAATCCAATGAGTGGTTCTTTAGATATCAGTGGAACAGTCATGGAACAGCTAAAATCCAGCTAATTATCATGCAAATTAGGTAATTAATATGCATGGATTTTTACCAAAACCTAATCAAATCTGCGCATTGGCCCAGAGCATCTATGCACCAAGTTTCATCAAAAACTGATGTATGGTTCTTGAGATATCAGTGAAACAGACGGACACACATACACACATACACACACACACACACACACACACCCATACAGACACACTAACTGCAAAGACTCCCTTTTTGTGCTTCGCACACAGAAGTCAACAACAATGTTCCCCCCCTAAAAACTGGTGATTCACAATTTTCTAAAGGTAAACTGAGTGTGGAGAAAATATTCAACACCTTTCACAGTTGCCAACAGGTCACGAATGGTTTACTTGTTAACATCCAATTAAGAATAGTCTCCATGAACATTGAATATTCAGAAAGGTAAAACGATGTTCAATGACAAGGTTGCATGACTTGATGGTCACATTTTTGGCATTTCGAAAGCTACCACTCCAAGATATTTGACATACTTCAGTAGTGAGTTATTTATAGGTCAAAATTTTGACCATTCTCACGTCTTTCTCACATACGCGAGTTGGGCCGGAAATCAACCATTGTCACGTAATTACTTTTTCGTGCGGGAGTTTGACAGTTTCGGGTCAGTTCTCACGTGCGTGAGAATGATTGTTTTCTAGTGTGTTCTCACATAAAAAGAAAAATGCGTGAGAACCCTTGATATGCGAGATGACTGTTTTCAAGTATGTTCTCACGTAAATTTGAACAACGTTTATACATCCATCAATTCCACGTATGTGAGAATGGCTGTTTAC